AGAAATACTGAAAATATTACTATAAATTGTAGCAACACCTCCCCCTTTACCTTTTGGACACGGCTCATGTGTATAACAGTAATCTTAGGGGGGACAACTCATTTAAAATAATGTAATCATCTGGTTTTAGCCAGGTTTCTGTCAAACAGAGCACATCTAGGTTTTGATCTGTGATCAAACACAGAGGGCAATGACGACTAATAACAAATTTTACACGGTGACAGTGTAACGATCGGCCTTATCGGCCGAGTTACATGGATTTAAAATGGGAACCTCTCTCTCCAGTGTTGCCACAGCGTCCTTTATACATTCCTCCATCTTGGCAAACTTAAAATCCACAGCCTCTCTAAAATACACTTCACGATTTATATTGCTTTCAACAGAGTCTTTAAAATCTTTCTCCAGTTTTAAAACAAGGTTTTTAAGAACAGCCACCTCAGCGCGAAGCTGTGCACATTCACATTGCTGTAAAAACCGTTCATCATTAAAACCAGTAGATGTATTAAAAGAAGCAGCATTATTTTGTTTAGTTGTCATCTTAAAACACTTCTCTCAACACAGCTTTTAAAATCTTTGAATGTTCCCCGTACGGGCCACCATATGTAACTATCGGCCGAGTTACATGGATTTAAAATGGGTCAGATTAAACTGTGTGAGATAAAATAAGTGTTTTAAAAAGATGAGACAACAACAAAAGTAGAATGAATAAATTGTGTATTTACCTAATGCACAAGGAATTCACAAGGAAGGCAGACCCATGAACATTTTAAAGACATACACACATCAAATAATTAAGAGGATTAAAATGGCTAAGACAACATGTAAAACCATTAAAACTCAAATATATAGATAAAAAAAACATCTTAATATATATTGAGCGGTAAAAACATGTGTCTTTGTGTGGCAGTGTCACAACAGTTTACTAGACAATATACTGTAACATATTTAATTATTTTATTTTTTAATTATTGTAAGTATTAAGTAATAAAGCACTTCACATCCAACCGACGGACATCAGCATAAACCAGCCAGCCAGCCTTACACCACCCCTGAAGAGGACAGTGTGAGACATTCTATAATGTGTACTAACTATATGTTTCCTTTGACAATAGGAAGAGGCAACGTCTTGTGAGGATCATCAAACATCTGCTCAAACTCACCCACATTTCTCCCGGGAAGTGTCCCTTAACATTTCAGAGCTACTTAAGCATGAAAAATTTGGAGTTTCAAACAACCCAGAAGCATCTGTTTGCACAAACATTCTTTCACAAACCTGTCAGCATCAAGGTCAAGGGAAATGTAACAACACCACCAGAAAAGACAGCATAGGTGAATATTTGGTTAACAGTCCTTCTCAAGAGACAAGCCAAAAGGAGACATCTTCACCAAAATATTCCAATCAAACATGCAGTCATCTTTTGGTGCATCCAGTCAAAGAGAATACCACGCAAAATGAATTCCAGAAGGAGACACAGACAAAGGGTACTATGAGCTATTGGATTTATTCAAAAGGCAATCAAGTACAGACATCAAAACACAAAATGAGTGGTACAACTTTATCAGCCAGCGTTTTGCAAAATAACTGTGGTGCTTCAAAGACTAAGATGGTTGATGCAAGTATTGCTTCGTCATCCAGTGCTGGGGCCAGTTCTTGCAATGCCTCACATCAAATGTCTTGACGTTGCACCCAGCCACGCTTGTCGGCCTGCCCCCCTGGCGTTTCCTCCAAACCGGCTTGGGGGTCTTTTTGATGGATGAACGGTGAGGTGGTTTCTGGTTAGGGGCGATGACGACACACTCCTTGGTCTCCACACCACACGACTTGCAGGCTCCGACAACCCTCCAGACGTCTCTGCGGATCGTGGGCCACCAGGTAACGTCCAGGATTCGAAGGAGGGTCTTTAGCCGTCCATGGTGTCGATCCTGAGTCCTCCGATGGAAGTGCTGTACCGTTTGTAATACCAGGGACTTTGGGATGATGAGCTGTATCTTATAGCTGTCCTTGTCCTTCTGGATCCACCGATACAGCAATCCGTGGTCGTCCTGCACGTAGATCCCGTTGGTCGGTGGTGTGGAAGGAGAGATGGTAAGTCCTTGCAGAGTGTCGTCATCACCCTGTGCGCTGGTGAGTTCCTCTCTGGAGAAGGGAAGGTGGGAGAATATGGCGGTAAAGTCTGGCCCGGCTGGAGTGGTGGCACAGGATTCTCCATCTGTTGCTCTGGTGACGGTTTGTGAAGTGGTTGAGGCAGTGGGAACGTTGGCCGGAGGAAAGCCAGGGGTCGACGTGAGTGGCACTGGGCTGGTCGTTGTAGTGGGAAGGGAGATGGCAAATTCTGGCTTCCTGATCTGTTCCAGTTGTTTTGCCCATTTTTTGTCTCTCCTCAGTAACCTCTCTCTCCAGTGTTGCCACAGCGTCCTTTATACATTCCTCCATCTTGGCAAACTTAAAATCCACAGCCTCTCTAAAATACACTTCACGATTTATATTGCTTTCAACAGAGTCTTTAAAATCTTTCTCCAGTTTTAAAACAAGGTTTTTAAGAACAGCCACCTCAGCGCGAAGCTGTACACATTCACATTGCTGTAAAAACCGTTCATCATTAAAACCAGTAGATGTATTAAAAGAAGCAGCATTATTTTGTTTAGTTGTCATCTTAAAACACTTCTCTCAACACAGCTTTTAAAATCTTTGAATGTTCCCCGTACGGGCCACCATATGTAACTATCGGCCGAGTTACATGGATTTAAAATGGGTCAGATTAAACTGTGTGAGATAAAATAAGTGTTTTAAAAAGATGAGACAACAACAAAAGTAGAATGAATAAATTGTGTATTTACCTAATGCACAAGGAATTCACAAGGAAGGCAGACCCATGAACATTTTAAAGACATACACACATCAAATAATTAAGAGGATTAAAATGGCTAAGACAACATGTAAAACCATTAAAACTCAAATATATAGATAAAAAAACATCTTAATATATATTGAGCGGTAAAAACATGTGTCTTTGTGTGGCAGTGTCACAACAGTTTACTAGACAATATACTGTAACATATTTAATTATTTTATTTTTTAATTATTGTAAGTATTAAGTAATAAAGCACTTCACATCCAACCGACGGACATCAGCATAAACCAGCCAGCCAGCCTTACACCACCCCTGAAGAGGACAGTGTGAGACATTCTATAATGTGTACTAACTATATGTTTCCTTTGACAATAGGAAGAGGCAACGTCTTGTGAGGATCATCAAACATCTGCTCAAACTCACCCACATTTCTCCCGGGAAGTGTCCCTTAACATTTCAGAGCTACTTAAGCATGAAAAATTTGGAGTTTCAAACAACCCAGAAGCATCTGTTTGCACAAACATTCTTTCACAAACCTGTCAGCATCAAGGTCAAGGGAAATGTAACAACACCACCAGAAAAGACAGCATAGGTGAATATTTGGTTAACAGTCCTTCTCAAGAGACAAGCCAAAAGGAGACATCTTCACCAAAATATTCCAATCAAACATGCAGTCATCTTTTGGTGCATCCAGTCAAAGAGAATACCACGCAAAATGAATTCCAGAAGGAGACACAGACAAAGGGTACTATGAGCTATTGGATTTATTCAAAAGGCAATCAAGTACAGACATCAAAACACAAAATGAGTGGTACAACTTTATCAGCCAGCGTTTTGCAAAATAACTGTGGTGCTTCAAAGACTAAGATGGTTGATGCAAGTATTGCTTCGTCATCCAGTGCTGGGGCCAGTTCTTGCAATGCCTCACATCAAATGTCTAGTCAAGAATTGCACACTCATCAAATATGTCCCCCAGCCATACACAGCAACCCAACATATTTAGGTAATAATAGTTACCTGGAACATGAGGACAGTAACAGCAGCAGTGATGATGAGCAAAAACTAGTCATTGAACTTGAGTAAGGTGAAAGTAACACAAAATAAGGCAAAACAAACCAAGGTGTCCAATACCCGCAATATGCGTCACTACACACAAGGCAAAAGGCCCTTTAGCAACTTTGAAACCTTTGGCATCATTAGGCTGACATGAAATGGTATTTTATCATCATAAATCTATATACTGGGGTATAGTTTTGTGACATGGCATATGTTGATGTTACTGTCACAATAAAAGCTCAGTCACAATATATATATATATATATATTTATATATATTTTTTTTTTCAGAAAATTAGCAAAAATTGCAAATATTCAAAGTCTATTGAGGCCAAACAATTGCTTTGCATGAAGAACAGACCCAAATTTAACCATGACGCCATTCCGAACGCTGATGCTGAAATCCTCCACACATTCAAAAACTGCTGTCTGAAGAAGTTTTGCCATATCTTTGATGTCTAATGTCATTTGCTCTTGTGTGTCTTTGTGACCGTCTGCATCATGCTAAATTTTAGATTTATCTTTTAAATGTGAGCTGGCTGTTTTTTTTTTCACAGAGAAGGAAAATTTTCAGCTATTGAAACCATGTGATTTGCGTTGCTCCTCACATAGAGTGCTGCAAGTTTTCTGAATCTAAGATACCAATGGATAGGTATGGAATCAAAATGCAGCACAAGTCATTTAGACTTTTGTGGTGCTTTTTTGGTCTCTGCTTTCTCTCTCTCTCTTTTTCTTCAGATGTAATTAAAAAATACTTTTCAAAATACAAGAAAAAGTGACTAAATGTACAGAATTAAGTTAACATTGGTTAATGCATTCACTATCATTAACTAACAATGAACAATATATTTGTTACCATATTTATACATTTTTGCTAACATTAGTTAATAAAATATAAATGTTCATTGTTAGTTCATGTAAGCTCAGGTTCATTAACTAATATTAACTTTATTAATATTACACACACACACACACACACACACAAACAATTATTTAGTGCCTTTAAACTGGATTTATTTTTCTCATAAGTGTGCTCCATGCGATGTAGTATGTAATTTAACTGGTTTATTTATGTCAAATATGTGATTTGATATGAATGAAACAATCAGATTTTTAGGTTACACAAACAAAAGTAATTCTTATTCCAAAAAAAAAAAAAGAACTTCTTAAGGTACCAACTGCAGACTTTCATTTTTTACAGTGTATAAAACTGTTTCCATCATAGGAACCTTCCTCAGGTCCACACAATGAAGGTTTTTTGTGGACATTTGGACCCCAAAAAGACAGTAAAACCTTACTCAAAAACACCCACAGACAATCTTTATTATTTTGTCCGTGCCCACAGGTGTATCCAGGTGCACTTTATGTACATGCAAAACACCCAGCCACTTCCTGCATCCTCATGCTACCCTCCATCAACAGGTGCACATGTGCTGTGAATCATACTGCATTTCACAGCCCTAGGAGTTTCACCTTTTATTCTGAGGAGGCACCTGGAGAAAGCACTCAGGATGTGCACATTCTTCTTGAGAGTGTAATCTCTTTATGTGACTCACAATGGCTGAATATGTATAAAGCTTTGACCCAAGAATAAATTCTCAGAATGGGGTTCCACATAGATCAGTCATCAGGCCATCAGTAAATGCAGTGATGGCAATGATTCAGCCAGTGGGAGGCTTCTGGCAATGTGATTAAAAAGATTTTTACTCATCACAGACCTTAACCTTCCTGCACTATCATCAGATCTTGTTGGCTGAATATCACTTGCTTAAACATAATAAAAAAAAAAATTTTTTTAAAACTTGCTTAGACAAAATTGAATGGACACTGTCTATAAAAGATCAATGTATAACCGTACATGTATATATGTATATTTGAATGTTAACTCAAATTTTAAGTGTTTTCAAATGTTTTTGAATTGAACTACTGTTTAAAATATCAGCTGAACTGGATTTTTCATGTTTAAATACATTGTGTTTTTTAATGATTTTAGTCAAATTACAAATCGGTATTCTTCATGTATAAATTCTATTAAAGTCATATGGTATTGTGTGTGTTTAGTATAAATTCTCAAAATTATGTAATCCAGCATTTGCCACTTAAGAGACAAGATGCCTTGAAGGGGTCATTAGGGTGTTAATTAGAAACACATTTGCTTATTTGCACAATTTGCTAAGCTGTAAATCTGCATGTGTAATATAATAAATTAGTGATCACTCTGCAACACCTTGTTACAAATATTGCACCACAAATCCTTTGAAAGAGCTTTACAGTTTTGAAAACAGCTTAGCAAATGCTACACTACTAAATAATGTTGTTAGGTCAGTAGCATGGCTACTTTAGTTAGTTACTCCCTAAAACTGGAATACACTGATTATACAGACAATACTGTCAAAGGCCAGAGGCTATCAGCGAAGAATAGGATGGTCAACTGATTTTCTTATCTGCAGAGACCCTGTCTCGGACTGTATACCTGTTCATCATCCTCAGTGTTTTAGCACATGGTCAAGGCAGAGTAGATCCTATCTTTTCCTTCATCTTTGTGCACTGCAGAGAGTCTCTTGTAAACTCTTTAGCTGAAGCTATAAAGATGCCATTAAATCCTTATTTAATAAACTTAAAATGTAGATAGATAGATACCCAGCCAACATGTATATGTGGGCCCCACGTGGATTATGCTTGGGCTACATGGGTACCAAGTGGGCATGGTCCCAAAATGGGCATCTTATTTGGGGCCCACTTGGGTCAGCTAAGTAGGTCCCACATGAGCAAAAATGGGTCAGACATGAGCAAACATAATCAAGTCCCATATAGTCTGACTACATGGGCCTTAGGTAGTACCCAAATAGTTACTAGGTACAGAGTGGGCAGTGGGTTTGGGATCTATGTGGGTACAGTGTAGGCCAGGGCTCCTCAACTCCAGTCCTGGAGGCCCGGTGTCCAGCAGACTTTAATTCCATACCTAATCAAATACCCCTATCTCTAATTGACAAATAATTTTGAACACTGTGATTAGCTTGTTTGGTGTGTTTGGTTAGAGATATAACTAAACTCTGCAGTACATTCACTCTTCAAGACCGCTGAAGAGTTCATGAGTCTATATACAAATCAGATTAAACCCAATGTGTCAGCAGCAATGGCCTGCAAAGCACATGACTTGTGGTGTCTGAAATTGGGCAAGCGATTTGTACAGTAATTGACATTATATCACAAGTGTCAAATTTTTAGTGGTCTGATTTTGTGAGTTACAGCAAAATGCTTATCTCCAAATAGTTATTTTATAACAGGGTATAAAATACTCCATCACCTTCACCTTCATGTATTCCGTGACAGTTACAAATTACTAATTAAAAAAGTATTCAGTAACATAATCCAAGTATCACAATATAAAAGTAATGTAATCTGATTACTTTTGGATTACTTCAAGTTGCATACGTAAATAAGTCAAAAAAGCTTAGAGATATAACTAAACTCTGCAGTACATTCACTCTTCAAGACCGCTGAAGAGTTCATGAGTCTATATACAAATCAGATTAAACCCAATGTGTCAGCAGCAATGGCCTGCAAAGCACATGACTTGTGGTGTCTGAAATTGGGCAAGCGATTTGTACAGTAATTGACATTATATCACAAGTGTCAAATTTTTAGTGGTCTGATTTTGTGAGTTACAGCAAAATGCTTATCTCCAAATAGTTATGTTATAACAGGGTATAAAATACTCCATCACCTTCACCTTCATGTATTCCGTGACAGTTACAAATTACTAATTAAAAAAGTATTCAGTAACATAATCCAAGTATCACAATATAAAAGTAATGTAATCTGATTACTTTTGGATTACTTCAAGTTGCATACGTAAATAAGTCAAAAAAGCAATATCTAAGTACTTTTATTTAACTATGACTTTAAAATTAAAACTTATAAAAATTATAGGAAAAACTATTTGAAACTATTAAAAATCGTGTCTTGTTTCACCATCTAGATATTTCAGGCCGTATATTTATATAAAAGGTTATGCAGACATCTAGTGGCTATACGGTTTAGTATTACAGTTTTATTTTTATTATTATTATTTTTTCTTTAACATGTTCAAGTAAAAATAAATATAGTTTATACACAACATTTAAAAAAATTACACCATATACATATTAGTCTATTTAAAAAAAAGCCTACATGTCGAAACTCAGCATTATATTTAACTATTTCATCTGCTATATTGTCAATAATATAGTGGGGAAGTCGTGGCCTAATGGTTAGAGAGTTGGACTCGTAACCCAAAGGTTGTGGGTTCGAGTCTTGTACCGGCAGGCATTGTAGGTGGGGGGAGTGAATGTACAGTGCTCTCTCACACCTTCAATACCCCCAACTGCTCCCCGGGCGCCGCAGCATAAATGGCTGCCCACAGCTCCGGGTGTGTGTTCACGGTGTGTGTGTGTTCACTGCTGTGTGTGTGCACTTTGGATGGGTAAATGCAGAGCACTAATTCCGAGTATGGGTCACCATACTTGGCCACATGTCATGTCACTCAATAAACTGTTTTGGGTTCTCACATGTTCTCTCATTTGAGTCTCCATGTAACACTCTGACAGTTTTTTTTTGTTTGTTTGTTTTGTTTTGTTTTTTATTTCTAGCAGTGGCCAATATGTGGAACAGTGTTCCCCAGACTGTGAATGTTGTTTATTTATTAATTTCTGTTTCATCCAAAATCGTGATGGTAATACAATTTGACTCTTACTTTGGAATTTAAATTTTGAAGTGTTTTTGGAGAGCATGTGCATTATTGTAATAACATGGGGTACTTAATATACTATAATAACAACAGAAAAATAGAACCTCTCATAAAAATTGATTTTTATAAAGCAGTTTGTAAAACCAGTGGAGGAACATTAGACAATGAGTTTTTTTTTTTTTTTAATTTCCACTGTCAGTTCAAGTACATGTGTTTCTGTTTATTTCCCAATCCTATGGTCAAAGATAAACTGAGATGGTGAATTATTTCAGTCAGGCTGAGGAGTTTAAATATCTTTTATAAAACTGACAACCCAAAATTCTCGCCACACAGTTCCCTGTGTGGCAGTGCAGGAAACATCCAGGGAAATGTGACCACATTCCTAAGAGAAAACAGAAAAAACGAAGCTTCTAGAAGAATGAAATCTGAACCACATATTACATAAATATAAATAGAGAGAACTGGGCAGCAAATTAAGCTATGTGTCTCTGGAACTAATTAACCTACACTTACTTACTAATAGGCTTATAATCATCATACTACAATTTACTCAGAGCTTGGG